TTCATGAAGGTGATGTTCTTTATTCCTAGGTAYGGAATTGCAGTTCACATGCTGTCTTTCAAACCACATGCTCCAAGGAGCAAGAGATGCAATAGTTTGTAAGAATATTAATACTGCAATTAGCAGTCACAGTGACAGACAAGACAAAATACTGTTTCACTGTTCCAACAACCTCATCAGCTAAGTCTAAAGAAAGAGACAAAAATTGACTATGCAAAGATTACTGGGGAAATGCTGGAAAGYAGTTAGTTTGAAACTATATAGTGAGCCTAATCACAGAAAGCATGAGCAGTGAGGTCATGAAGAGTCATGAGGAATGAGTTTGAAGCAAAGTGATAGATAGCTTTGAACACATATGATGTGCAGTCCTACCAAAGAACAGCAGGAAGCATGCAAGCATCTATATATAAAAAAAGAGATGAACAATGGTGATATCATCAGTTGAGTGTAAGAATTAAGTTTTTCAGTGTTGAGCAAGAACAATAGCACCAGAAAAACAAAACAAAACAAAAACAATTTATGTTATTTAAGAGAGGCASTAGAGGGGCAATGACTAAACCAGAAGACTTGGAAAACACGCTTTTCGCTGTTACCAGCAAAAACAACAAAATGTTTTTCTTGTATCAAGACCAGAGGAAAAGAGTGTTATACTATTTAGCATGGAAAAATGTTGAGTCAAGCTATGTGAATGGATTGATATGTCAAAGAAGGCAACAATGTGGACAAAGTTTTATTTTCAAGATGTGGAAACTGAAACCTTAAGTCAAAGATGATACCAGGATGATAACACAGCCTTCAATGAAGTTTGGTCCATAATGCTAAAGGAAGGAGACAACATAGAGACAAATTATGAACATGTTGGACCTGTGACACCAATAAAGAAAAGTAAGAAGCAAACAATGTTTTTAGCTGAATGAACATTCTTACGTCCTCCCAGGGACTTTCATCTTCTTCAGGGTCACACACAATAGGGCAAAAACAAGGCCTCACTTCCTCCAAATCTGTGTCTTCAACTTGTTTGTAAAAATAAGTTTTCCAGTGRAAATATATCTTCCTGACATGAACTCGTCAGTCTAGACAGTTAGTTTGATTTGTGGTATCAAACAGACCGTAATTCTTTGCTTGTAGTTTGTCTATCCAGTATTTATCTTCTGATTGAATTAAAGCTTTTTTTCAGGCAGACTTCTACTTTCTGTATCAGGACAGAAAATAATGTGGAAATCAGCACATCTTCTGGGAAGTTTTTCAGTGGTCTGTTTACATTAAAAATATGTACCTTAGTTTTTAGCCTAAATGCAGTGTTTATTAATGTTTAGTCATTTGAACATTTTTCCACTTTTAGACAGATGAAGAATGCCTTTCATGTTGAGGTGTATCTGAAGGTAGATTGAGATCTACCGGTAGATAAGTTGGAGATAAATAGAAGGTTATTTGCAGACTATAATTAACTCTATAATAAATTAACTAGATTGAGTTTTTTTTTTTTTTTTAAGATTTTTGCTATATTGCAAGTTTTGTAAACCTAAGGCAATTTCTGAGCTTTGTGTATGTGTGTTTGGGATTTTTTTGGTTGGTTGATTAGTTTTTTTTTTTTAACCTTTTCAAACATTGAGGGGTATTCCTTAGAACTGGGTATGGTATCCTGGTAACAGTGTCAGTAATAGCATATATAGAGATAATATCATCTCTAAACTCTTTATCTGTCTTCACCTTATACACAGTTAGAGATRCATTAGTGTTACCCAGTGTATTACACCATAAGCTCATATTCAGTTGGTTACCCACCAGACCCCAGAGGCCTTCACAGAGATAAGCTTTCCAAGAAACATTTTTGTATCCTGTCAGTGTGACCTACTTCTCTGTTTCTAGATACACAGCCTTGCATATGGCAGCATTAAAATGCATGATGTTTAAAAATGAATTCAGGTTACTGAGTGATTTAGAATTCTCTATATATTATTTACTACTTGAGCCAATAATTGTGACATATGCAAGCTTCATCCGAAATGATTTTATTATTTATTTACAGATTACACATAACTTAACAGCATACAGTTAAAAAAAGACAGCACTAATATTAAGCACTAATATCAGCACTAATTGTGTGCTGATTTCCCATTCACATATACTTTGGGAGATAGAAAAGCTATCAGAATTTTTTTTTTTTTTTTTTGCAATCTAGGTAATACAAATGTTTTACATTAATTGTTGTTAAATGTAAAATTTTAGTTAGAAAGCCATATACAAATGAGCCAAGTGCCACTTTGTTGACAGACTTATTTGCCAAGCAAATTTGCAATCCAACTAAAAACAATATCAGACTTGCTTTGTGTGTGTAGATGAAAACTATTTTCATGCATTTATATCCATTAATTAAATTTGCTGCCCTACTTAAGTTACTTTCTGAATGTCCCTGTGACAGATTTCCCAGATGTTTGTCTAGCTTTTAGAACAGGCTGTAATTGTTACAGTTTTTGCCATTGTTCTATTTGCTGAGGTGATGAACCAATCAATTGAACTAGGCTGTATGAAGAGCCTACTGATAGTGTGCAGTGTCTGAAAGGAATATGCGATACATTCAGAATAGTTCTATTGAATTAACCTTGGTCTTAAATGACTATCTGACCTGTTAACACAGTATAAATTATTTCTTCTCAAAGTACATCCTCTGATCCTTTTAACATTCATCTGCAACTTAATTAAAAAAATCAGAACATTCAGGATGACCTATAACATTATGAAATGATCCTTTATAAACGTATCTGGCTAATAACTATGCAGTTTTAATATTCCTATCCAATGTCTACAACAACACTTCTGTACAAAATTTAGCTAAAGGTAAAGCATTGTGCAGGAAAACATTCTCTGTTCCCTTGAGTTAAGCTAAAACATTTTGATATGCTCGAGAGGCTGCTGTTTGTGCACCGTGTCCTTCAACCTAAAATAACACCAAAAGTGATAGAATGAAAAGTGACAACAATTAAGAAGCTGCTGAACCTGCAAATTTGTTTTCACAGATTTTCTTGCTCTATGTTATAAAATGTTAAGATTTTAARTACCAAACAATAAAGGCTTCCTCTGTTCAGTTTTCTCTTCAAGGAATTAATTTTGAGATGAAAGGAATGAAAATCCATAGCACTATATTTGCTTTTACTTATTATTTACTAAGTCTTTTATTAATTCTACTAAAAATTGCTAAGTTGAAAACTGTACATTTGCACATACTGATGCACAAATATATGAAAACGTGAGAATAGTGAATGGCCTCAGGTGAATTCCTTTGTCTTTGTTCATTTAGCAATAAATTTCAGTGATGCTRTTTCTTTGTGTCACTCAGAAGACTAGAGAGGCTAGTGACGATTATAGCACAACCTGCAATACCACTCCTTAAGTGGATATGACCAATAGAACACCACAAGTGTTTAAATCAGTGTTAATATCTGCCTTCCTGTGTCAGCAAATATGGTGTCTTTATGATCAAATTCTTTATGTGATAAAGCCATGCCAGTCTATCAGTCCTCAGCCTGCACCGGTGCCTAAGATTCTCCTTTCTCAGGTGAAGGACTTGGCATTCATCCTTGCTCAACTTCATGAGGTTCCTGTTAGCCAGCCTCTCTGGCTACCTCTAGATAACAATCTTACCTTCCACAATATTGATTGTTTTTCCCATTTTGGTATTATCTGCAACATGATGAGAGTGCACTCCATCACCTGCTCTAGGGTACTGAAAAAGGTATTTACCAGGATATTTCTGAGTGCAGACCAGAACCATATCCACTTGTCACAGGTATCCAAGTAGAGAGCAAACCTCTAAGCCTATTTCGCCAACCGTTTTTTACCATCCAGATCACGTTGATCAAATTTAGATGAATGAGCTAGGCAAGCAAAATGAATCATTCCAAAGCACTCAAATACTGTAGTTTGTGTTGCTTGGTAAAGCAGGAAGCAGAAAAAAAACACTAAATGTTAAAGTTAAGCAAAATGGATATATTTTCAATTTACTGGAGATGTCAAGTCTTCTATTTCATTTCAGTTCCCCTAAGCCAAGGATCCTTGACAAAATAACAGCTTATTTCAACCTGCTTTTTCAATAATAGTAAACTCTTTCATAAACTACTTTAAGAGCTCTTTAATCCATTGTTTAATCATGGGGTCTTTCCTCCTTTTATTATCATAATCATAAGGGCAAGATTGTTCACACTTGCATAGTAAAATCTCATGACTTTGAGTAAGCAAGGTCAATTCCTAGTGACAAATGACATTACAATAAAGCACTGCATAACAGTTTGGAAGACATTTACTAGTCTATTGAAGATTCTTCTCTTGGCATTATTACTCAAAATAACTTCTTCCACTACTTATTTCAATATAAAACTAGAAAGTTTGAAAACAAAGGGTAGGACAGATTATAAGATTATAAAAGAGAAGGACTGTTACATTCTCCCTTCAGATGAATTAAATTGAAGTAATATATTCCTTACATATGCAACTGTGACACTGTACCCTCTATAATACCATATAGAGGGTATAGACCATATAGAGGGTTATAGAGGTCCATAGAGACRCCTCTATACCCTCTATGGCTGAAGTCTTCTCTGAAAACTTCTTGAACATGAACAGATGAAAAATGAAAACACATAATAACTAAAAATGATTTTATATGCTTTGTCAATATTTATGGATGTTATATATTGATAAAATAAATACTAATAAACTAATTAAATACCTGCAGTATGGTGTGACTGCTTTGCTGCATGGCATGAAGTGCCTTATCACTTCTAGTTGAACTATGAGGATTCAGTATAGATTCCATCCTGATGTGACAAGATATACATTATTATACTTTCATCTGAAAAGTGAGATCAAAATTACTTGGAATACAGTGTTTCTGCTGCTCATGCTGTACTTGTTTGTAAAGATTTGGGTGAAGGATTCCTCTTTTTTGAAAGTGAAATGAATGTATTTGCAAGAGAAGATGACAACTATCTTTCCGTGCACAGTCTAAGGCAGAAGTCCCCTAGAGAAAATAAATAGCATGTGATTTCATAACTACATACCTAAGTATGTTGCACCCAAAATATAGGTACAATTAATTGCTAGGAACTGTTCTTCTTATTGAATGCTTGAAATTGTGATTTCAATGCCATCACTTTTAGGTAGGGCYTTAGAACATATTATATGCTAATATCCAAAATTACTGTGCTTGGTGTTTGTCCTTACCTTCAATAACTTCCTCACAATAGATATTAAAAAGCGTAGATGGGGCATTAAGTACATGATCCCATGAGTCACGTTATAAGAGAACCTCTGTAGAAAATAGCTCTGAATCTAATGATCCCTAGCTGATCCATTCTAAATGAAACAGTGGGATAAACAAACGTATGTCTGTAAGTGAAGATTTTGATTTTGAAAGGGCAAGCTTTGAGAAATTATGAGGACCAATTAGAGGTAATCACTGGGCTGAGAGYTTAAGGACTTATTTTTAAGACCATGCAAATTAATTCAAAAGAGCAGTCTTCATCTGGAATTTGCAGACTTATCAAGCAATAAGCTAAGCCTCTCAAACTGAAAACACCTTGAAAATTATGGTAGGTCTAAAAAGAGAAAGGAGAAGATATAGGTATTTTAACCAGAATTACAAATAAAAATAATTTTTTAAAGAGAGAGAACATTTGTGGAAGTAGGAATGAGATGCAATATGCTGTCAGTATAGCTCTACATTTCTAAATTAGCATGCAGGATGTGCTTCRATTTTGAATACACCTGAGGATGCCAAACACTGACTGCTGAGTCCCAGCCATTCTGCGAGTGAGCCAGGTGGCCTGTGTGGAGTTACGGGTTGCAAGGCCTCCTCTTGGTGTACATCCAGTACCAAAGGAAACTGAAAGACACCTTCCACATGTGGCAGAGGTTTGTGGCACTCACAGGGCAGAAACATCTGAAATCCATGGGATCATATTGACCACGTAAGAGGAAAAAGYCCCCTAGAAAGAAACTACATATTACATATGTTAAAGGACTATATTTATCTTAGACTAGAGAGCTTTATGTTTAACATGGAGGTAGGACAGAATGGGATTAAAAGTTTAGAAATGAAATGACATGTAAAGAAGTAAAACATAAAAATTATGCTCATGTATTGAGTATACTCTAGAATCCTGACAAGAGTTTGAAAGGTRAATCATGAGCCCAGCAGCAAATTCTTTTAAAATATATTCTTGAAAATGGTTTCATATGACAAAAACAGAATAATCCATAGGCCATTGATTTTACTCCAGTAGTTTGCAAAATTTATAACAATCTTTGAAGGAAATGAGTAAATAAAAGCCAAAGGAAAAGGATGAATGGAATGAAATGTAACAAGTGTATGAAGAATGAACTGTGCTGCCCTAATCATTTAGTTTTTTTTTTTCCGTTTATGTGGGAATGTATCAGAAATCATCAGTTCAGTTTCAAGAAAATCTTGTTGTGGTAATATATATGAAGCAATMATTAACATGGTGAACATGGAGGCTACTAGACACATTGTAGAATGGAACTATATAAAAATGAAATGACAAGAGGCTGCAGAGAACTTCTCACTGTGACATTATTATGATAAATAATGACTTCACAACTTAAAATTTAGACACATTTTCAATAGAGGTGGCAATCAGAAGTATCTTAAAGAAGAAAGGGAATATTGACAGAGCTGAAATTATATAACAAAATTCAATAGTTCAAAAAAATGACTAGTAAAGAATACTTTTTTTTAAGCTGAGCAGGTTAGTTAAAATACTGTGTGGACTGTGTATTGTTAAGACTAGTCCTTTGCCCGAGAATGTAGTCCTGCTTTTTCCATTTAACTTGCCTCATACTCTTTCATCCTTGTCCAATGAWGGGACTTYCACTAGCTTTTGTGACAACAGACACCATAGCCACTGTCAGAGGAAGGAAACATTTGCTTCAAGGAGGGAATCTTTATTTTTGGAGCTTGGAAGAGCCAGAATGATTTATGGTTCAGCACTCAAGTTCAAATACAGGCTCCAACAGTTACTTCTCTAGGTAATTTATCTTTTTCATATCTATGAAAACTAGTGCATCCTCTCTCACTTCTTTCCCCCSCATTGCCACCACTGGGGCACAAAATTTTGAAGTAGGTCAGAACAGAAATGAGGAATGAAATAAGTATCAGTTAAGCAGAAAGACTACTCTTACAGGAAAAGRAAAAAATAACATATTAATAATAAAAACTTTTTCACAGGGAATATATTCATGAACTTACTTCACAATCTTAAATAAATAATTGTAGATTTGCAATCTAACTCCAGGGAAACAAAACAAACTTACCACCTTCCACTTCTGTGTTTCCTCTTCCAGCCATCTACTAACACACTCCCAGCACTCCAAGTTGCAGCATTTCCATACTGGCCCCCCAGCAGGATCTAATATCCTACTGTTTCCATGGAAGCAGATTTAAGACCTGCCTTTCTCCTTAACAGCTGCTGTCAGTTATCTCATCACTGGCATGGCTGGGAAGGAAAACCATCAATGAACCCAATTTCCCTCTGAGAGTCATAAAAAGTTTATATGGTCCTCGTTTTTTTTTTTTTAAGTTCACCTCCTCGGAAGATTTTTAAATTCTGATTCTTAATTGTCAGCTGTGTGCTGAAAGATCAGCTTGCATGCACTTCGTTAACTGTGCACTGAAAGATGAGTTTATATGCACTGATCTTGAAAATAATTATGCACGTGCTAAATTTTATGTGCTGTAGGTGTTCAGTGCCATGAACCCTTGTGCATACAGAATTAAGTGGGTATGTAAGTTTATTTCTAAAGGAAATGATCATCCCTGAGACAATTATGCACAAGAGCTGCCTCTGGCCATGTATTCTTCAACAGAATTCTAGTCACTCCATGCTCCAGTAGAGTCTCATCAAACRCAGTCAGCCTCTGAACTGTGGGGATCTGCTGGCGTGAAACTCAGTGCAAACTTACAGCCTGAGCAGGACCTTCAAAAGTGGAATGTTTCTGTCTGTCCCTCTAACTYCATCAGAAAAGATAACTTCAGATTTGAAATGAAGGTCTGAAGGCTTGGCAGATCCTGAGACAGGTACCAGGGAAGAACACAGATTGCAACTTTCTGCTTTTGTGAGCCTGATTTGTATTTGGGAGCCCAGTTCCTCCCAGAAGGGAGAATCATCACAGGGAAGTCTATGATGCTCTGTAGCACAAAAATTTAATGTACTTACATGACARGAATGTGAATTAAAATGCATCTTCTCCCCAACAGATCTTAAGTAATATAAACAGGTATTATAAAGAAGACATAAGAGGAAAGAGAAAAAAAAATCAAGCAAAGTTTCTCAGAAATATTTTGAATGAAGAAATAAGGTATGTTCTTCCCACTGATTAAGCAACATTTCAGAGTCTTTACTGGAGGGACAGAAYGAAACAGTGTGAGGCAGGGGGGAAAAAAAGATTATAGAATCATAGAATGCTTAAGGTTGGAAGGGACCTCAGARGTCATCTAGTCCAAACCCSCTGCACACACAGGGTCACCTAGAGCACGWGKCACAGGGCTGYRTSCAAGCGGGTTTCAAAGATCTCCAAAGAASGAGACTCCACAACCTCTCTGGGCAGCCTGTTCCAGGGCTGTGGTCCCCTCAATATTAAGAAGTGTTTTCTTAWGTTCCTGTGGAACTTTTGGTGCCTCAGCTTGTGGCCATTTCCTCTAGTCCTATCGCTGGCCACCACTGAAAAGAGGTCAGCCCCCTCCTCCTCACTGCCTCCCTTGAGGTATTTATAGACACTGATCAGGTCCCCCCTCAACCTTCTCTTCTCCAGGATGAACAGGCCCAGCTCCCTCAGCCTTTGCTCATAGGGCAGATGTTCCAGGCCCCTGATCATCCTGGTAGCCCTGCGCTGGACTCCAGCAGCTCCACATTCCTCTCGTACCGGGGAGCCCAGAAGTGGACACAGTACTCCAGATGTGGCCTTGCCAGGGCTGAGTAGAGGGGGACGATCACCTCCCTCGACAGGCTGGAGACGATCTTCTTAATGCACCCCGGGATCCCGTTGGCCTTCTTGGCCACCAGGGCACACTACTGCCTCATGGTCATCTTGTCATTCACCATGACRCCGAGGTCCCTCTCTGCGGGGCTGCTCTCCAGCAGATCCACCCCTAATSTGTACTGGTGTCTGGGGTTATTCCTTCCCAAGTGCAGGACCCTGTSCTTGCCCTTGTTGAACTTCATGAGGTTTCTCACYGCCCAGTCSTCCAGTCTGTCCAGGTCCCTCTGGATGGCAGCACAGCCCTCAGGGCTATCAGCTACTCCTCCCAGTTTGGGATCATCACCAAACTTGCTGAGGGAGCACTCCAGCCCTTCATTCAAGTCGTTAATGAACAAGTTGAACAGGACCGGACTGAGGACCAACCCCTGGGGGACACCACTAACTACAGGCCTCCAGCTGGACTCTGCGCCACTGACTACCACTCTCTGCACCCTGCCACTGAGCCAATTCCTAATCCACCTCCTGTCCACTCATCTGTCCCACACCTTCGGAGCTTGCTCAGGGGTATGCTGTGAGGGATGGTGTCAAAAGCCTTGCTGAAGTCCAGATAGACGACAWCCACTCCTCTGCCCTCCTCTATCCAGCTAGTATGTAAAGTAAACCAGATTTTACAAAGATTTTTTACAAGATTTTTTTTCTTTACTTTACAAAGATGTAAAGTAAAAATATCAAGTGGATACAAATTCAACTTTCCAGTCTTTCAGGACATTCAATTACATTTTTTTATTCATATTTTTAAGTATATAATAAAGACAAAAGAAAAAGTGTGGAAATTCAGCTATGACTCACTATGTGTATAGAGTGAAGAAGGAATTCTTCATCTGGAAATGGCAAGTTAAAAGGTAACACTTGAATGAAAAAAGTTAATCTTAGTTTTGTAGCAGTATCACTGTACTTAAGTATCTATTCAAATCTTTTGCAAACAGACTAAATGTTACAAAGACTAAAAGAGATCAGAATTGAGTGCCAATTCTTGAAAAGATTCATCCAAATTATGACTTCTTAGAAGCAAGTTACTCAAAGTCTCCTTCACAACTTAAGTATGCCCTCCTGTTACTGTAGTCTAGCTAGATAAGAAAATACGAGTCTTCKCCATTTTCAGCTTACACTTTAGAGCTAATGAAAATTCTCTCTGTATTTCAGTCAGAAAGAAGGTGGATTTATACTCCCCATATTAGCATAGCTAAGCTATGGGGCTAAAATCTCTAGGCTTCTCAGGACTCTTCTAGTGATACAGATACTCATCTACCMCCACATTAAATTTCTTGCTGTTACCCTCTTTGTAGAGAAGCCTAACTCTCATCAGTAACTGTATAAAGTCCMGTGAAAGGCCAGTCTCCCTCTTTGGGATCCTGAATATTGCACATTCCTAYCTCCTTGCTTTTCCCAGTACCATTACCTCCATACAGAAACTAAAGAGTCAATAGAGACCAAAAGTCAATCTTCTTCTTGTCAGCTCCTTTGACATCCAAAAACTTAAAAGCATGCTCCTAAATGTGGCAACAGGTAATTATGAACTTAATGCTATGTATGAACTTTCATGTTCTTTATGGGAAGGATGTCTTTCACGAGCTCCAGGGAAGTGCTGATTCTCTGCATGCTGCTCATGTTCCAGGATCAGAAAGAACTCATACCCCAACCTAAGAYAGGTTCACACATTTTCATGTAAGGTCAGAAATAAAACTGAGACACTGACTAYTTGCAAAAATTAGAGACTTCATTCCAAATCCTGTATTTATTGGAGACTCATGATTGAATAACACCTTCAGACAATGAATTATGCTRGTGAAACTCCCTGTGGTACTTTCAATCTTATCTTTATATTACTATTAGCTCTGTTGGGTTTTTTGAATTAGCATGAGTATATCTATGTTCCTGACTATGCTTGCTTCAATAAGATAAAATGGAAAAAGAATACAGATTTTCAGTATGAAAAAATGGATCAAGCATTCTTCATATAAGTTATATATGGCAATCTGATTAATATGAAKAATTTGTAACTGCAGTTTAGAAATGTTATTGATTAAAGTGTAGCAGAGGGTGAAGTAGAATCGGCCGTTTTCTCGAAAAAAATGAAACAGATCTAGGTGAAACASTCAGTAACATAATTTCTCTCTAGATCCCAGCTTATTCTGTTGAAATGACATGTTTAAAAACACCCAAGCAGGGAACTGGCTTGTTTACTAGTTTTCTTGTGGTGATGGAGTTGTCACTTGAGGAAAGCCTATTTTGTAAAATTTTGACTGCATCTAGTATGGTTTTCTTCTTCGCTTTATCGTGAAAGTGCAGTCTTTTAGGGTATGGATATTTAGAAGTGAATATTCAGAAGTGAATATTTAGACTTCGTCTCTGTGTGTGTTAAGGTTTGGTGTTTGCTTTGGGTGGCTTTTTTTTTTTGGTTTTGCTTGCTGCAATTCTTTTGCATAGCTTTTGGCTGGTTATCACAGGGGAAGAGCACAGAATTTCTTCTATTCAAGTATTCCAAAAATTAGATTGCATAATCAGTAGTAATAAAATGYTCTATGTCAGTATGTTTATTTTCATCTTAGAAGAAAACCTTTGCTTTTTGGAATTATTCCAAGCAATCAAAATATTCTCTGAGCATTCACTCTGCAACGAATTATCTCCTCATCCTGCACTATTGGAGAAAGCTCTTTCATCTCAAGCATACATGTCATTATTCTACACTGTGTTGATATCTAACAGCACTTACACTGCCTCCACTGAGACTCCACTGACTTCATTATATTTCAAGTCCATAAACAAGATTTAGCCCAGCTCCTATAAAATCATTTGCACAAATATAACAGTTGTCTTATGCCTACTACTCTGATTATGTCAGTACAGTGTAACTYAGKAATTCRATCCYGGCCAATGTTTATGTTTTATATGCAGTCAGAATCCCCATCTGAGAGTTAGTAACCCTACATTCTGTTCCCAGCTATGCCACAGATTTACTGTACAAGTGCACTCAGATGCCTTATTTCCTTCGTGCTTCAGATTCTCTTTGCAAAAGGACAAAAATATTCCTTTTCCCTGCAAAACCCTTTTCAATTCTATGCCCAAAAAAAAAAAAAAAAAAAAAAAAAAAGTCAATCTATTATTCTGTTATTCTTACTTCATTACCTGGTGCAACAAAGGAAAGATTGCTAATGCAGCCATCACTTATGCTAAGACACAAGGACTTTGAAAAGTTACCACCTTCTGCAGTAATTAGATGTGCCCAAGAATTTGACTTTCAGAAGGATCATGTATCTCCTAATGGAAACAATATTATGTTATGGCTATTATAGTTGCATCATGATATTCAAGCCAGTGTAAA